TCCCCAGATGCTGAGGTCCCTACCTAGACGGCTGGATACAGGACGGTCAGCTGGGCTTTGGGGACAGAAGTGGATGGTGCTTGGTTGAGGATGCTCAGCTGACTCCTACACTCGGTGGCAAGGGGTCTGGGGGACAGCCAGCGCTGGGCTGGGGGCCTCGGGGAAGTCTGAGACCATGTGGGGTTCGGTTCCCCCCATGGACAAGGGTCTTTCTGGGGTCCTAATGGGACCTCCCCAAGAATGCATTCCAGACACCCTGGAGGCAGGCAGGGCCTTGTCGGGGTGGGGGGGTTAAGGCCTTGAGCAAAATCTCCGGCTCTGGGTCAGGTGGGCTGGCATGGCAGGCGCCGGCCTCCCCCTGCGGGAGGGAGTGCTGAGGCTCTAGGCCGCCCCCAGGAGGTCAGCTGGGGGAGGTCCCATGTTGGGGTCCCCCCTGGGCTCGGCCATCCTGGGAGGCTCCCATGTTGTGGGGAGAGCAGTAGTCCCAGCACCCCAGGCTCAAGGTGGTTCCGGAGCACAGGGGTCCCCAATAACTCCCAGCGTGGGAAAAAGTGGGCCGTTGCCCAGGCTCTTGATAGAATCACAGAGAGGGAAGTGGGAGCTTGAACAGGAGCCAGCTGGGGGCTGAGTACCCCGGGGGGCGGGGCATACAGGAGGGGTTCTCCAAATCGCTGCTAACAATAGCTGAGCGACGACCTAGGAACCAGGAGGTCACGGTTTGATCCCGGTCAGGGCACATACCTGGGTTGGGGGCTCGATCCCCAGTGGGGTGTGCAGGAGGCAGCCAGTTAGTGATTCTCTCTCATCGTTAATGTATGTTTCTCTCTCTCCCTCTCTCTGAAATTAATAAAAACATATTTTAAAAGATGAAAAGATTTGGCAAAAGAAAGCCCTGATCCTGGGGGAAGGGATGGGGCCCAGGGTCCTGCTGATCTGCAGAAGCAGGAAGGAAGCTGGGGTCTGGGAGACACCACGGCCCTAAGCAGAAGGTAGAGAGGCCGGTCCCCACGGGCCACCAGAGCGTGAGTGTGTGGGCGAGAGGGTCGGCGGGGGCCTGGGTCCAGGAGGGCACTGGCTCCCAGCGCCTCACCTGCGTCCATGCGCGCAGAGGAGATGAACTTGTCCAGCTGGCAGCGCAGGAAGTCCCTCTCCTCCTCCAGGTCCTCGATGCGCTTCTGCAGCCACGAGTTCCTCTCCAGGGCCATGTGCAGCTGGGCCCTGACGCCGCTCATCAGCGCCGCGGTGGGGGACGCCGCCTCTGGAGGCTCTAGGGCAGCGGGGGCCCTGGTCA